GGCGTTCAATACCTCGTGCTGATCCTTTGTGAGTCCCTCGCCTATGTCCATCCGGTTGATCAGGTCATGGGCTACGTCATTGGCCCGCCTTACACCAACCTCTTCTTTCCGCACCTCATGGAGACTCACGGGATGGATCCTTAGCTGGGGGTTCAGCGTGACCTGTTCCACAATGCCCACAGGCGTCCGTGGATTCAGATAGAGGTCGCTGCCACTCCAGTTGGTCACCTGTTTCGGCACGCGTCCTGAACAGCCTAGCTGGGAGCAAGTCCTGCCCACAGCAAGGCCCATAGGAAGGGCTGGTAGGATTTCCTCCTGGTGCTCTACCATTACGAGGTGTTCTTCTATAGCCCCCATGCATGTGCCCTCCAGTATCTTCACTGACCGGGCTGGTATCAGCTGTGGCCCTCTACCAGCTACCCTTACCCTGGAGGTGCTTGGTTCAGTGTGGTCCGCTTCTGCCTTAGTTTGGATTGCTCCATATAAGGCAAGGACATGAGCCCAGTGGCTCCCATCTACTTGGCTGGAGTCTGTCAAATCCTTAAGATAGGTCTCGCCCCACTTCTCCTTGAGAGCTGTCCGCATTCTTCGCAGGATGTTACTCCCAATTACCCCCGGAACAAACCGCTTCCGATTCTCCATGGGGGTCCCTTTTGGGTCGCACACTACCAGGAATCCCATCCTGTGGAAGGTATGCCGGCAGATCTCAAGGTCGCGTTCTATATAGCCTCGGTAAGGGACTTTCAAGCTCACGGGCCCGTTGTCAGAAACAAATTAGTCTTAACATTAACCTTAACATTAACTTTTTTTCTTACAGCGTTGACAGAAACTTCGTAAATTAAAAATTCTCGTAACTTTTCTCTTAACTTAAGAGATCCTAGACCCTACCTTAACTTTAATATTAAGATGAAAATAACACATTTAGACTAAGAATTACAATTACAGTGATGTTATATTTTATATTAATGAGTAATATCATGTGTTTTTCTTGGAAAAAACGTCAAAAACATTAATTATCTACCGATCGTGAAGCAAAACAAAAGTGTCAAAACATTTACAAATGCCGTATGGCATTTGTTCTCTTGTTTTAAATACTTTTGCACTAATATGACAACACGACTCTCGCGTCTCGTGAGAATTGCTACAGTATGAGAATTTGTCTGGTTGTGCAGAATAAATTCAAGACCGTGTCGTTTTTCATCAAATATTATTTATATGTGGTTAGCCATCATAATATGCATAAATTACTGTAATGTACAATAAATGTGTATGAATTTGAATTTTGTGATCGATTCCCATCCAATCAGCAGCCTTGTGATGGAGTTCCTGTTATCGTAAGTTTTCACTTAAGTCAGTTTAGTTAGGCCTACTTTAGGTTTCTGTCAACGCTATTAACTTTTCTCTTAACATTAACATTAGTCTTAAAATTAATCGTAACTTTACGAAGTTTCTGACAACGGGCCCCTGGGCACCAGAAATGGAGATAAAATTTGACACATTCTTGGGATGCTCGCCATTGCTCAGTTGCTCACGGAAGAATGATTCTGTTACCGTGGAAACCGGAGCTCCCGTGTCCAGCAAACATTTCATCTCCGCCCCTGCTATCTTAACTAGGGCCTCGGGGCACTCTCCTACTGCCTTTTTTAAAAGTCAGCCTACCCTGTCCGTTTCCACGCACAGCTCACTGCAACAGGCGACTTTAGTTTTCTGACAAATTTGGCCTGGACACCTGGGGGTGGCCCCACCGGCCCATTCCCCTTATCCGGGCAGTTCCTTTGAATATGGCCCGGGGACTGGCAACGTCAACAAAGCATGGGGCTCTTGTCAGCCCCATACTGGCGCCGTGGGCCCCTGTTGACAGGTCGACCCCCACTCGCCTGTTGTCGCAGCATATCCATCATGACAGACATGTGCTGCTGCTGCTGCTGCTTTAATACTTCAGCTAACTGGTCGCCTTGTTGCTTGATAGCAGCCACCACTGGGTCGACAGCCTCAGAGGTGACCTCCTGGTCCATAGCGACACGGTGACGGCCCTTGTCATGGCTGATGCCCAGTCACTGTATCGCCCGGTCCCGCAACTCGAAATAGGTCAGGGCTGGGGACTCGAGGTTGAGGCACCTTAATTCCCGTTGCAAGTCTTCCTCATGGACTGCCTCTGCCAGCCTCCCCTTCAGAGTAATGTATCTGGAGGCCTCCCATGATCCATCCATAGCGGTGATCTGATTGCTCAATTGGACCAGCTCCAGTGAGCAGCCAAGCAGGTCTTGGCTCCCTTTCTGCTGGTACGAAAAGAATCACTGCTGGATCCTCGGCAGAGATTGGTGGTCCGCATCTCTGAAGGTCGTCAACAGGACTTCGAAGATCTTAGCATCTCAGCATCTTCGCTTACTCCTCGACGACCACTCACCTCCATGCGGGCCCTGCCCCCCAGTTGCTGGAGGACCACTGCCGCCCTTTCCTCCTGGATGCCTTTACGGGTGGCTAATTGAGCCCGCATGTCCCCAACCCATTCTTCAACATCCGGATCGCCCGACTTCTCTGGACGGTACCCAGTCCCGTTCCACATGTCGAGAGGGAGCAGTATAACCCGGCCCATGCTGGCACACAGCCTTAAGTGTGGCCTCCACCAATTTGGCCTTCGCTAACTCCTCCTCCAACATCCTCACCCGATCCTCCATTCCGCCACCCGCGGGACTCCGTGTGAGAATGGACCACGTAGTTTAGGGACCCAAGGGCAATGGGAGGCTTGTACTCGAGAAGCTTCCTCAGTCTACAGTCTACACCATAAATCGCGCAATTCATTCATACAATACAAATATGTACAAAGTGCATTATTGTTTTTGACTAAATGCTACGCTGGCTATCTGACTAGCTGGTCGCCATGCCATCAGGCAGAATGCTGGCAACGGCTTGGTCGGCATGCGAGTCCATGTGTCCCTGCAGAGCCTTCAGCATCACGTATGCCACGCTACAGATCGTGCAGATGTTCGCCTTATAGCTGTCTTCTTGTTTCTCTCGTCTCCCTCAGGGGTTTGTTCATCTCATCGGATCAATGGATGCCGTACTTGATTAATCCTGTCGACTGCGCCATTTGTGAGGTCGGGAAAAATACTCCAACAATCAAGTGCGGAGTAGACGATTTATTTGTGAACAAACAAAAAACCCCTAGGGAGCCAAGTACATGATCGGGCTAGATCGTGCCACCGTAGGACTAACCACGCCAACTTGTTGTTGCCAGTTTGTTGCCCGCGAGTCACACGATAACCTCGTAGATGTTGACCGATAGAAATTACTAATCAGCAGAATGCTTTCTTCTGCTTTCTATCTGATCCAGCATGGTGGCCTAGTGCTGCCATCTGTTCTCTGTAGTGCTGCCGGCTATCTTTTCTCTCCTTTCGCCACTCGAGGCCAGCACCAAACAATCACAACAACCCTGGGACAATTCGGCATGTCACACAACAACAACAAAATATTATAATAAATATAAAAAAATAAAATAAAATAATTAATTAATTAAATATTGTAAGATCGACTTGCTACCGATGCTTTACCGCTGTCTGCAGCGCACACACTCGTGTTTTACGTACGCACAACATTTTCACGCAGTTAATGTTATGGAGCCAGTGGGTTGTTTAGAACCAGTGGGTTCGTTGTCATGCCACCGTGACGTCACACTTCGGTACTCTATTTGGCACGAGCCAATTTGGTCCCATCGAAAACGTCGGACCAGGCTCGAGCCAAATTTTAGTACCAAAATTGCAGCAAAGCAAAAAGCAAAATAGCAGCTAAATCGGTTGAGCGGTAGATGACGCGAGTGTCGAACGTGTACTTCGACGAAATAAAGTCCAAAACAGTATAAAAATTCGAAAAATTTGATCAGGATGCACGTTTTCAAGATTGATAATTGAACCCGGAACGGAAGTAAACACTCTGAATCGTACACAACGCCATCTCGCGACATACTGCTAAAGTATCTGTGAGATATTTATGCAATAAACTTTATTTGAATTTGAATTTGAATATGACAAACAGTATATTCACTTGCGTACGTGTGAACGCTCCGACTCAAACCGGCCCGAGCCAAATTTAGCCTAAGCCAAATTTAGCCAATTTGGCTCGAGCCAAACCATGACCGTGTGAACGCGGTATATATGAGTATGAATGATGAAACTTAAATCACGTATAAAAAACTGAACCTTAAGCTAAACCAAGCCCATTTGCATTAGGCGATAGTATCCCTTTAAACGATGCGACCAGTCAAAGTCGAAAAAAGTCTCTCAAAAATTCTGATCACTATGTAGGCCTCGTATTTACAAATCAATTTCGTTAAAGTCAGTTTAGTATACAAACGTGTATAGTGTGGGTGAAAATACAAAATATAATACATTAGCAAAATGGCAGTTGAGGTCAATCTTTGTCACCATTCTCAGAGCTATGCTTAGATTGCGCTGTTATTAATATTACATCAACCTTAAATTGACTACGTCCCGAATTTTCTATGGTGTATATTTGTAACATTTTTGTTGCCATTTTTTACATTAAAAGTAAGTACTAACGGGGCTAATTGTATCGTCAAATTTTTACCTGGTAAGATTGTTTCTCAACTAGTTAAAAATCCAAAAAACTTGGACGATTTGATATTATGATCCTGACAATAATTGCTTGCTATGGGCTATGTATGAGTCACGAGTGTATGTTTACATCGAACAATATAGTAAACTAGGAAGTATAATGCAGCAATTTAACCAGAAAAAAGTGAACAGAATTACATACATTTTGTGAAAAAGTGGAAATATTTTGTTTACTTTTACTATTTACGGTGATGTAATCACTTTAACTTCTCATCATTTGATCTGATAGCCGCTGAACTGTACCAACCACTGATTCAACTTCGTGATAGCTTTGTTCCTATATAGAGGATGTTGTACACTGGTTTAGCAAGGAGTCTTGAGTCCCACTGTCAAGGCTAACATATAATAGCAGTTTGCATTCTGTTTCAGAATGAGGTCGTCAAAGTTGGATCATCCTACGAGGTTTGTATGCTATTTCGACAACATCGGTTTCTTGGAGCAGGGTTTCATGCGATCCAAACCTTGTCAGATCAATGTGTGATGCGTGTTACGTGTATAGATCGTGCAACCCCCATAGCATAAAATAGCACTCAAACCACATATACAACATGGAGAAAGAAACAGCTCAACTCTACTGATATTACCCATAGATGATCGATATCAGTTCAGTTCAGTCCCCGGGGGGGGGGGGGACTCGCCTAGGAACTAGGTAGGGGGGGTGCCTCGGGAACCTTGAAAACCTGACCCTGTCGCAAACCGCTTTGCACCCTAAAATACACCATGTCCCAATATACTGCACTAAAATGTGCTCAAAAAATTGCTAAAGTGCTCAGAAACTGGTATGAGAATGTCTATCATGGACCAATCAAGGACCCGCCTATGCAACCTTACCGATATTGGCGTGCCGCTAAGTTGTTCATATTGGACCTATGTTGGCTTGCTTATATTGGCTTGCCTATATTGGTCCGATATTGGCAGATATTGGACCACTGCCTGCTTATATTGGTCCAATATTGGTGTGGTGATATTGGCCCAATATTGTTTTGCCAAGATTGGGCCAATATCAGCTTGCTTGCTGGTAATCTAGATAACCCTGTGCCAATAATGATGTTCGGAAAATATACCCTGTCCAGCGACACGTCCCCAGTACCTTTAACAATTGTAGTGCCCCCCACCCCCCGGGAGTTCAGTAAACATGAACCCTCGAAATCTATGTTTCTGAAGTCAGCGTATCCATATGCCGTGTTACTTACACAGAGAGCAGAGGCCACACATGGCATCAAGTATTCCTAATATCCCCTACAGCGCCAAGTGTCACATAGTAATGAGTTCGGCCCTGCTATCGCGGCAAGTTTAGCTTTTCTCATGCCAGAAGAGATAAAAAGTGTGTGAAACCCCGTCGTATTCAAAGAACATTTTTGAAAAATACATACGATTTTCCGGTAAACTGCTGGTGTCATATGACTAAGGGAGAATCAAAGATTAAAACAAGGTAAAGTTTGAATAGATTTATTCACATATTAATAGAATAAATTCAAGTTGAACACTGCCCAATCACTCTGTAAAACATTCTTCTATTATAAACTCTTGATATATATATATATGTATAGCTTTGGCTGAAACACACCGAGACGTTCTGAATGTGCTCTAGACTGACCCGTAATCAACAACTGCACTCACAAGCGCACCATACACAGTCCTACAGTATGTGCGGAGTAACAACAGACACCAGTCACTCAGCACTCTTGATTGTTTTGCGGTAGCAACTTTGGCGGCAATACAAGCGCGCCCCATATATTGACAGGTTTCTACAACAGCAGAGGATATTAACGTGATACCAAGAGTAGATAATAACACAAGAGTAACACACCCGATTCCCGCATTTTTAACTGATTTTTCTCATCAAAATTTGCCACCAATAAAGAAGCAAGTGTATACGTTCCTCAGCTTATTATGACCACTAATCACTCACCTTCGTGGTACTGATATTCGTTACATATATTTGCTAGCGTATTGCTGTAAATCGTAATCTTGCACGAGCTGAATTCGCACAATTTACCGCTATTGTGTGAGGTGTTAAGACAAATTTTGAAGCTATAGTGGCGCCAATATTTAGCAACGGACGGTTTCCAAATCATTCGTGCCCCGATAGGGGTTTAATGTACTTGATTACCTGCGTGTGCGTAATGTGATACTTACTGCAAACTACTACAGAGAATATTGTTATTATGGTGTTATTACTTATGTAAGATAGTATGTCAATTTCTTGTGTTGCGATCACAATAACTGAGCGCGTCTCGCGGCTCCTCACGAGATCAAAATTCGAAATTTAGATTGTCTCTCAACCCTATCGGGGCACAAATGATTTGGAAACAGTCCGTTGCTAAATATTGGCGCCACTATAGCTTCAAAATTTGTCTTAACACCTCACACAATAGCAGTAAATTGTGCGAATTCAGCTCGTGCAAGATTACGATTTACAGCAATACGCTAGCAAATATATGTAAACGAATATCAGTACCACGAAGGTGAGTGATTAGTGGTCATAATAAGCTGAGGAACGTATACACTTGCTTCTTTATTGGTGGCAAATTTTGATGAGAAAAATCGGTTAAAAATGCGGGAATCGTGTGTCTCACTCTTGTGTTATTATCTACTCTTGGTGATACTGAGAGAGAGTTCATGAAATAAAAGAAAGAATTCAAGTGAAAGGGCATTACATGTGCTTTAGCTTGCCATATGGTTTAAGCTAGACCAGTTAAGCTCACCTAGTTTAGCAAACTTTAGCTTGCCTTATTTCCTGTTTAACATCTGCATCATTTGTATCGCTATACGGACGCTGCATATCGATTATCGTATCAGGGGCTGCTGTACGGTAAATTGTTACACCCCTAGTAAACACTACCACTGTAGTAGTGTAGTAGACAGACTGATCTGTGTTATCAGGACATAGCGCGATGATGAAGTGTTCTTGCTCCCACGTGGGGTTGGGCGTTGTACGATGTTCGTGAGTCATGGCGGTGGAAGTGGCACTGAATGGACAGTTGTTGCAGCAGGATCAGGCAGCAAAAGACAAGGTTCTGCAGTCACTGGCAGGCATGTCATCGGCTCAGATCGTGTCCGCCACTCTACTCAATCACAAAGGCTTCCCAGCAATGATGGGTGGTGTGCCACCATTCGGCAACACTATGGGGCCCACCTATCCTGCAGCCACGCCAACGGTAAGCCCACTGACCCTGTCTCCACCCTCACAGTAGTCATCCCCTTCCTCGCCCCCACTCTCACAGAAATTGCAACCTACCCTGTGTCCAGCCTCACTAAGCCCCACCTACACTGTCTCTACTTTTACAGCAGTTGTCCCCTATTCTTCTGCCCATGCCATGGTGATCTTTCCCTACCCAGCTACAGTCAATAGTGTATGCCCCACTATCTATCACTGCTAGGAAAATGTCCTATAACCTCAGGGTAAGCCCCTCTACCCTTCGAGTTTCCCAGGACAAGCCTCATATACTCTCCTATCATCTCAGTGCAAGCCTCCTCCCCCTTCCATCACTTCTATGAAGCCCTCCCATCTTCTCAGGGCAAGCTTCTATTATCCCTCACCATCTCAAGACAACTCCCCCTCAACCCTTCCACTATGTCATTACAAGTCCCCTCCCCTCCCATCACCTCACCCCCATTACCTCAGAGCAAGCCTCCTTCCCCTTCCATCATCTCAGGGCAAACCTTTAACCTCATAATTTCAGGAAAATACTCCTACCCTTTCACAATCTCAAGGCATATGCCCTGTATCCCCCACCATCTCAGGATAAGTCCACTTCTACCATTACACCATCTCAGGACAAGCCGTCTCTATGCTCCCATCACTTCAGAGTAAGCCTCCTTTTCTTTCCCTCCCATAATCTCAGAGGAATCCTTGGCTACCCTTCCACCTCTAGGCAAGCGCCACGTACCCTCCTACCACCTCAGGGCAAATCTCCTGTACACTCCAATCATGGCAAGAAAGCCACTTCAACGCTCACACCTTTATATTATTTGCACCATGTCTATTGAACTCGTCAGTAGATCAACCTTTCTGCATACATGTACTAGATACATTCTGGCACATTCATGTATAGTAGCTTTCAAACAGAAGCACCGTAAATGTTGCAGCAATTTTTTATATTGGAGCATATATAGTTGTGAAGAAAAATACAAAAAACGATTATTGTTATTTATTAACGCTGCTATTTAATGTTACCACCCTGGCTCCATCTGAATTGGATCCACCTTACAGCTGGGGACAGATCTACAAAACTGGAGACTAGGTTGTAATCATTCCCTCAATTAGAGTGATCGTCCTCTATAAGAGTTTGTACTGCTACCATGATCAAGGTGAAGAAGAAGAATTTTCAGTGATTTTTATCACCCTTTGTCACCCACTAACATAATGTGACACCGAAATTCACCCGTCTCTGTATCTCTTTGACAGTTCTGGCAGCCAGGGTTATCACAGCCAGCGACAACTCAAGAGTAAGTAGTATTCCCTCACACCATTTCAGATTATCCACAATGAGCATTCCGAATGATTACAAAAAAGATTCCTAATTATGAGTGATGATTTTTTAGCTCACCTTGACATCGTCAAGATGGGCTATTGCAATGGGTCGTTGTCAGTCGTACGTCAGTCCGTCCGTCAACATTTGGATACGGTCAAAGATAACTTGAGAACCGTTTGACCGGCATGTTTCAAATTGCATACAGTTGTTACTCCTATGGGAGAGGTCTGAACGTCCTATTTTGGCTCAGTTCAGGTTCAACAAATTTTGCTAATTTTTGGTATGTGAATGAATAACGACTGTCCCCAAAACATATCACAGGGATTTTGATATTTTTGAGAAATTATGCAAGTTAGGTAGATATTGGCAATTTCACTATGCATTTCAGTGTCTGCCTACGGTCAACGATAACTCACGAAGCGTTTGACCCACATGTTTCAAATTGCATACAGTTGTTACTCCTATGGTAGAGATTTGAACGTCCTATTTTAGAGCACGCCAGTCGACCTACTTTTGAGCCACGCCCACTTTTTGGCAAAAATGGAAATGGCCATAAGTCAGTTCAGGTTCAACGGATTTTGCTCATTTTTGGTATGTGAATGAATAAGGACTGGCCCCAAAATATATCACAGGGGTTTTGATATTTTTTTTAAATTATGCAAATTAAGTAGATTTTGGCAATGTCACTATGCATTTCAGTGTCTGCCTACGGTCATCGATAACTGAAGAACCGTTTGACCCACATGTTTCAAATTGCATACAGTTGTTACTTGTATGGGAGAGATGACAACGTCCTATTTTGGAGCACAGCAGTCGACCTATTTTTGAGTCATTCTCAACTGCGTGTTTACATGCGTTACTAAAAAGTAGTTATTTTATGCTAAGAACAATGAAGGAATTAATTAGAAGTCTAATTAATACCTTTAGTATAGTACCACTAAATACTGTTAAAACTGGTGGCTAAACTGCCCCCCACTCAGTGCACTTGTTCCCACTCTCTCATTTGTGCCCTTTTTGTGGTGAGCTACAGTGTCATTGACACTTTCATTTCACTAGAGATGAAGTCTTAAAAACATGGTACAACTAAGATTCTATTCCCTTGTTGTTGCTTAGTGAGTAAATTTACATCTTTATTTTCAATATTTTTCATATTTTGACGATTTCATTTCATCTGTTAAGGATTGCCGCTCGTAATAATGTATACTGAGTACACCATATACCATGCTGTACAGCGTGACAGTGGCCAGCTATGAGAAGGGAAGCTATTTGGTCACGTGAGCAGATATACGCGCCCCAACAGTGCACACCTAAGTGGGGGGGGGGGGACATCAATGAGTCTAAGGCGTAGTATAAAATATAGATAAGTGTATGCTATATATGTTACGACACACATAATTGCAACAAGTCGACCGAAACTGCCCAACGGCCACGAACACCAGAATCAGAACATTTAGTCCCGGGTATCTTTCGTCACCTCCCTTTTTAGGGGAGTCCTCTTTATCTCTCTCTCTCTCTCTCTCTCTCTCTCTCTCTGTCTCTGTCTCTGTGTCTCTCTCTCGCTCTCTCTCTCGCTCTCGCTCTCTCTCTCTCTCTCTCTCTCTCTCTCTCTCCATGGGCTCCCCTTCGCTCTCGCCCAATTGTAGGTGATCTACCTTAATTAACTAGCGACCTTTCGTATTAGGCCTGTTGATGGTCTATGTTGCATTATGGAACTGTGGTTTTTCAACACTACATAAGTTTAGATGTGATTAAGCTTGAGCATGTCTGGACATGTCTTATGGGAATAAAGAGAAAATCATTGTAAAGATATTCAGTAGTTTTCTTGCATTAGTATCTTGAACATCATCACTCACTTATTTACAACATCAAGACGCTGCTAACTTGGTTATAACATCGACATGTTGCTCACTTGTTTATTATAATTGACAGTGTGAAGCCATACATCGCTCAAGCATATGGAATCCCGGGTAAACCAGAGATGGCGCCACCAATTAGTTCCTCCACCTCAACGTTGTCATGGGAAGGACGCTACATTGGCACGTCCAAGCTGCGATTAGCTGAATTCTCAGCGTACATGGACCAGCAACGAGAAACAGACTCAGTAAGCTAACAGGGTGACGGCACGTGTATGCACGTTTTTTGTTATTACACACGTGAGGTTGCAAGTGTAGCCAAGTGATTACATGGTTGTGACAGTGATGAAGAGACCACCCTGTTTTACTTTAAAATGCTTATAAGTGAGATGGCAGCATCTCTTTTGTTTGCAAACCCCCTGCTGATTATATGTGACCTACACCTGCCAATTTTGTGTCTCTGTTGTGAAGAGATTGCTATGTGAGGGGTGTGTGTTACTTTTACCACTTTTATTGTGTCGGCCATGGCTTTCGTGTCACAAAATGCACATTGCGTGTTTGTTGGAAACATTAAAACTAGACATGTGACTATATCGAGGACGACAGGAGATACCTAAAGGATGTAAACTTCCTAAACTAAATATCAAAAACAGTTTCTTCAGCCAATCAATCATAAAATCAATCCATCAAATAAAGCATGCTTCTAACCTTCACAATTCAGCCATCGATCTTGATGCCACAAGATCACTGCAGCAAGCAATCATAAAACTCTCTCTCACTCTCTCTCTGTCTCCCTTTCATGTCCTCCCTCCTCCCTCCCTCCGTCTCCCCTTCTCTTACCCTCTCTCTCTCTCTCTCGCTGTCTCTCTCTCTCTCTCTCTATATATATATATATATGTATGTATATATATATATACATGAATGGATGGATGGATGGATGGATGGATGGATGGATGGATGGGTTGGTAAATGGGTGGGTGGATGGATGGATGGATGGATGGATGGATGGATGGATGGATGGATATATGATATATGATATAGATATATATTACTGAGCGTTCATATTATGTATATCCATTGTTACAGAAAAAATTCAGTTTGGCACTATATCTGAAACCATTTAATATACCCTTAACATCATATATCCCAATTTTGTTGCTTATACCACAAAACCCACAATCCTTCTACACATCTGCCCCACTAGTATGGTTGGAGCTAAATTCTTTCACACCGTGTGCAGGTCTTGATGTCAGCGTTAGGGTGCATGTAAAAGTATTTGGCTAACAATTGCTTGCATACTAGAACTGCTGTTTTGTGTCAAATGCTCGCATGCGCCTCTTAAATTCTTGCATGCTACTTAAAAATCTTGATGTGTTCATGACAAGATGTGTAACCAAAAGAGAAGTGTATTAGTGGGGCAGATAACAGCCATTTTTGATAGGAATCGTGCAAATGATGATACAAGCATCAAATTTGGCACACTTGTTCTCCAAGTGATACTAATCAAATCTGCCCGATTGGCCAATTGAAAATCTAAGATGGCGGCTATTTTTCAAGATGGTCGCCAAATTAGCCTCCCGAAGTTGACGTTTTGCTTAGAAGTATTTGTAGTTGTCCGATTTGCATGATCTATGTGTGGATTCCTATGTTTTCAAGCCTGCTGAAGTGGATTTTCCTGTTTATAAAACACACTGACACATATTTTTCAAGATGGCCACTAGATTGTCTGTTTTTCATTACGTAAGCTTTGCCCCAGCTAGTAAATGTTCAAAGTTATACATACCATGCCACTGGTCCTCCAGCTGCTACTGTTCACATATGCAGCTGCAGAGTGATGTGCAGGGGAGCTTTGACTGAAAGCACTTGCATCTTCCTTTACAACCTTTCTTACAGGAACACTTCGTCAGTTCCCGACAGCTCGCTCCAATAGGTGGTAGTGTTGTCCAACATATCTGCCATGTCTCTCCTTTCTGTGTCCACACCCATTCAGCGGGACTGCTCGTGTCTGGATTGGAGATGGTTGCCTGGCCCCAGATGATCCCAGCCTGATAGGCCGCACGCTTTGCATGTTCTCTGAGGGCTGCCTGTGTTGGTGGAATTGAGTTGTACGGCCTCTGCTTGCGGGCAAAGAGATCTAGTCTTGCTTCGTCCACACCAGTGGCTGCACTTGATCTGTCGTACACGAGGACAATGAATCTCTCCAGCATCTGCAGGTCAAGATCACGAATTAATGTTGGATGCTGGCTGAGATTAGTGAATGTTTCAGAAACATCATCAAATACGTTCCAAGTCTGCCATGCAGATTTCTTCGCTTTACAACGGAAGGCAGACACGAGGTCACATCCAGTAAACGGATGAAAGTATGGGATCCCTCTAGCTTTCTCAATCTCTATTGCAGAAACTACCTCATGGACTGGAATCCATCGCATCTTGGCTCCTTGGCCAAACGCAATCCACATGTTCTTAAGGCCTAGTTCTTGTAACGATGGCAGTACAGATATTGCTATGACTAGCACGTCCGTGTCATTAGCCTTAATGATAATAGACTTGCTCCCATCAGTCGTTGCATCCCTGGCGTGTACAAATATTCGACTGTCAGCTTCTTCATGACAACATGGGGACACAGCATCCAGAGACTTCCTTGTGTTGCTAATGGCATCTTCTTTTGTGACGATGACTGTGCTTGTCGTCTTTGCTTCACACATCTTTTTCGCAAGGAAGTGAAACAGCTCAGTCTAGTTTCTGGCGTCACGAAGGAAGCTTTGCCAGTTACTTGGTGTCTTACTCGTTCCTGTCACTCTTCTTCTGATTTCTTGCCCCTTTTCGACCTCGTCTCGGATTTCAGACTTGACTTCTTGTACACATCAAAGACTACGTCCACCCGCTCGTACCTGGCACCATAGGATTCCACCTTTGGGATGATGTCTTATTTAGCATAGTTATGAAATGTTTTTGAAGTGCGTGGAGGTAATAAATTGATAAGTGCTGAGCCATCAATGATGATTGCATCTCCCTTTTGTTCTCTGTCTGGGATGTTCACTTGCGCTTCAAGAATTTCAACCAGCTGTGACTTCTGACACGTATGAACCTTTCCGCTGTCACTGAGAGATGCAGGCTGTGACTGATTCTCGTGCTTGAAGAATTCTTGCAAGTCACACTGCCTGTTCTGGCACGAGATGAAGAGTCGCGGGAATAACTGATGGTTGTCTTTCAGGACTTTCTCCTTAGAAATTCCTTCAGCCTGCTCTTGTTTGAAGAAAGAAACAAGGTTTTTCTTGATTGGATAATAGAAAGGACTTTCACCTTCATCCTCTAGCCCCTCCATGAATGATTGGAACTGCTCTTTGCCCTGCCGGTGTAGCTACCATTTCAGCTAGTTGGGTATGCAATGTTCTTCGTGTCTAGCACCAGCAGGTCGGCTGATTCTTCTTGGAATGGGTTGCCCATCTCCTGCATCACTGCAGAGAGTAATTTTACCTTTTTAACGAGAGATTTCTGGGCACTTAGTGTCTGCTCATGGTGTCTGCTGATGTAGGTGGCATCTTTCATACCAGACATGGCCTCGTATCCAGCTACTAAACGACTAACTTCGGGTCCAGCGACCATCCACCTACGAAGTGCTGACGGGTCTTCTGTCAACCCAATTGCTCCTCCGTCACCTTTGATCACTGCATTATTGTGCTCGAGTGCTTGGTCAATCGCCAGGGCAGAGAATTCTCTTCTTGACTTGTGGATGGCGAAGTTCCCTTTGTGAAACTCCCTGGCCACATCTGGATGTTGTTGCTCAAGTGACATCATATCTCGGAGGTGAATTGTGATCCATCGCGCATAGTTGACATTGTTATTCGCAAAGAAGTAAGGCACCAGTTCTGAAAGTGCTTCACGGTACAAGTTGAAGACGCCTTCTCTGAATGAGCGGATCAGGGTGAATATGGTGAGCTCCATGTCCAGCACCAGACTCCAGAACTGGAACTGCAGACTCTCTTTCCTCCGTTGTTAACACCAATCCTCAAAGGTTATATCTGATATGCTAGACTCTTCAGAGCGGTAATTATGGTATGCCTTCTTCATCAGTTTGTACAAGCTGCATGCAGTGATCTGGTGTGCTTGTCTTGTCTGGTGTGACACTGGATGCAGACAGGTAAGACTGTGCTGTACCAGATGAGGCCACCCCTGCTTCCACAATGGCACTGGTCCAGCCACTGTCCCGTAGTAATGTTCCTATTAATCGCAGTGCAGCCATTTCTATATGAAGTCCACCGAACATGATCACGAACTTGTCCTCTCCATATTCGGGCCACTTTCATTGTATTTGTTTTGCCAGAGCATACAACGGTTGGTCAGCAGCAATAACAGGTGTCTGCCCTGGGTTCAGAAAAGCCACTGTATCACAGACCTTCGCCATGGCATGCTTGATCGTTGCAATAGAGTGAGCCTGGTCTCGCCACAGAGGCATCATTGCTGAAATGCTCACTTCAAATGGATGGCTCTTTTTCTGCGTTGCATGGTGGGCTGACCATGTGATGCTGACTGCATCAGCCACATCCTCAGTGAAAAAGACTTCCTCTAACCAAGAATATTTTTCTTTCAAGTGTGACCAGATCGACTCGGGTACTCATCTAGTTTAGCCCGCGAGCCAACGCGGTTTACCAGGGTCTGGCTGATGCCGTGCACTAGCATCTTCTTGGAGCCATAGATGAGAGTTGGGCCAGTGGTGAGGACCAGTGCCAGTAGTCCATCCAATGGATGTGGCTGACTGCTAAAACAAATTAAGGTACTACCTCTAACACTACACCCCTACACCCCTACACCCCTACACCCCATAGCCATGCAAACGTATGAAAATCATAAACAAATGTGCAAAGGGAGAAAAATATGTGTCAGTGTGCTTTATAAACAGGAAAATCTACTTCAGCACGCTTGAAAACATAGGAATTCACACCTAGATCATGCAAATCGGACAACTACAAATACTTCTACGCAAAATGTCAACTTCGGGAAGCTAATTTGGCGACCATCTTGAAAAATGACCGCCATCTTGGATTTTCAATTGGCCAATCGGGCAGATTTGATTAGTATCACTTGGAGAATAAGTGTGCCAAGTTTGATGCTTGTATCATCATTTGCACGATTTTTCTGTTATCTCCTAGACTATATGTATACCAGAAGCAAGCATAGTTTTCAAATTTATAAGTTCACAACCCCGGATCATGATGTCCGTATATAGGTGTTTAGCCAGAAAAATGAATGCTGAACGCGGGTGCAGGGTTTCACATACGACATCAGGGTTTCTTCGGAGGGAAAATTAGACAAAGGAGGTAATGGCCAGTTTGGGGAAAAAAACGTGCATGATGGATTCAAATACAGGATATATTGATATACTTATAGATGTATAGATACAGGATATACTTATTAGTAAATACAGGAATATTTTCACAACGGCGATGTTAAAATTTGACAACGGTGGTGCGCCACTGTGCCTCCTATGTATAAGAAACCCAGGACATACGTCGTTGCCGTACAACAATTTAGTCTCGTCTACACCGTGCCTAGGTCTTAATATCCTTTGTAAGGCATGCAACCGAAAAACAAATGTGTGTACAGCCCTCAACACTAACGGTTGTCCGATTGCCCGGGACAAGTGAAAGTCTATGTCGGACAAGTTATTCTCTTGCCTAGTTGCCCGATCGGACAACTGAAAAGTTCTAGTTGTTTAATATTCTTAACATCCTCTGAGCCAGGGCGCTATCGCACCACATTCTTACTTCAAAAGTTTTCGAAGGTCCCTGAAAAAAGCAGCCCGCGACACCCACTGTTACCATTACAGATTTATTCAGAGTGGCAATGCGTACCTCCCTGGCCGGGGCGGCATTGATTTATGTACTGGGGTGGGGGTACGATTGTTTATAAGTCGGTTGGGGCATATTCATTACTGAATATGTAGGGGGTGGGCATTGCTGGAATGAGAGGACGACAGCAAAACTCTTTCCTGTGATTGAGGAAAAAGCTGCAATCGGTAATGACACACAATGAGCGTGCCAGCATGCAAACATAAACGTGTGAATTTTATTACGATTTTACATGTATACTGTATTTACTCGTGTATAAGTATAATTCATGTATATTATAAGTCTTACCCCATATTTTGCATTGAAAAGTTGGTACAAACATTGGTACATTAACAAGATTTCTTAGCCTCGTCTATAAGTCGCACCCACTGATTTTTTTTTATTGAAGTTGTGTACAAAAAGCGCGGTTTATACACAAGTAAATTTATACGGTATATATACTGTAATTGTAATACACACGCACGCTCGCATGCAAACGCGCGCGCAGCCACATGCCTAGGTATGTGCGAGCCTATATGCACGCAGGGAATACTGGAAAAAATATCAGGAGTGTATAATATATATATATATGTCTACATCTATTTATAAATATTATATATGTATATATATCTATTTATATATCTATTTCTATAATATAGATCTCTATATTATACACTCCTGATAATATGATATGCACTGAACCAAAAGAGGACATTAACGGCTCATAGATTGCACAAGTAAATTTTGGACAAGTAAAAATTGCTTATTGTTGCCCGACAGGACAACCAGATCTGAAAATAAGCGTCGAGGCCTGGTGTATGATTTCCCGTTCACGATACATCGTTCCACAAAACGTGATGCATTCCTCTGCATCTATGAAAGAATTAAAAAAAGGTTTTCTCAGGCTCAGCGTATGTATTATTGCAGTACAACAAGCACCTGTTTGTACATCTGGGTGGACCTGGCGCCAGCTACACGGAACCGCTAGAAGCTGTTGACATTCGACAGATCTACGACAAGTTCCCAGAAAAGAAGGGTGGACTCAAGGAACTGTATGACAAAGGACCTCAGCAGGCTTTCTTCTTAGTCAAATTTTGGGTGAGTGGCACAAGCAATAAGATGGTAGTTTGTATTGCTGTGTGGTGCTGCCATGCTGTACGTTTTCTTCTAGCTCGATAGTTGGCAGGTGACCTCTTTATGGTTGTCCCAAGCTAACCTATAGTTTCAATGTAAATGGTAGTAGGGAGCAATACAAGGTAGTTATCATCTTTCCTCTTGTGACAACTGCACACTGTAATAATGGTTAGCCCCTATAATAGTCACTCCATGACCGTTTGACTAAAAGGAGTAACAACAAGATCTCACCGGGGGAAAAAAAAATTTTCACGAAGCTCTTTTTCATGTCTGTGGAAAAAATTGCTCTCGTCAAAAATGTTACGGGTGCTATTTTGAATTGCCTATTTTCACTATACCCGATTCTCTCTAGTTACCCCTCACTTCAAGAATATCTTCATGTTTGCACAGTCCTGGGGCACGTTGTGCCTAAAGCCTGGCGCACACGTTACGGTTTTTCCCATCTTAGCAAGTCTTGGTATCCTGCGATTTTTCCCTCAAGTAACCGGAGCATATCAAGCTGGTTTGATATCTCCCGGTAAAAACCGCACGGATAAAATCAGACTGCAGCATGTGCGGTGGTCAGCGGGAAAAACCTGTTACACGGGCCAATCAGCATCGAGCAAAAATCACATGATCGATAAAATGGCAGCGTCCATGGAAGCCGCGCAGTTTTATACTACAAAAACGAACTTTGTCTACGCATTCCGCCATTTATTGGTTTAGGATGCCCAAGATTGGCAGACTGTTAGTTGATCACCCTTAGGGTGGCCTAAGCACATTTAATAGGTTACACTAAAAACTAATATTTAAAAGCAAGTAAAATAATAAAAGTACAAACGCTTCGAAATGGCTGTTGTTGCCGTAACGCGCAATGCATGTTGCGAAGACTCGCACCGCATTTGTCCCGATTTTAATCGGTAGCCAGCGCACACGGCGTTCCGTGTGCGGGGTACACCAATTATTTCCTGCGAGAAAACCTGGCGATAAAAACCGTATAACTTATAGCATGCATGTGCGCCTAGCTTAAACCAAGACAAAAAACTGTGTCTCATGTTACAGTGTGAGAATTTGTCTGCACTGATCGTTTCATTTGCATTGTTCGATTGGACGCATTGTTTTTTTTTAGCTCGCACATCTGCCAGATCCCCCAGCTACGCAAGCGATTTTTTTCAAATTTTTTTTTTGCTCTTAATTTGTTTCGCGGGAGCGATTTCAGAGGTTTGAAGAGCTCATCGCTCATCGCTCCCGTGTATTTTTTACCCTGGATCTCACCTATTGTAAAACAAGCATGCCAAGTCTACATGGGAGGAGTGAACTGGATCTGGGTTTCAACTGCTTCTCACGTGTATTGTGACTGTCTCAAGTTAAATTGCTCTCTTGGAAAGCAATAATCTTGTAGGCGAATTGCTTCTGCATAATATTATGTTGTGTGTGCACATTCCTTCTGTGTATGCCTAAGTGCATTAGAAATTATAATGCTTGCAATAATGAATCATGAATGCCTTGATCATTGATGAAATTTAAATGCTACTGCTAAAACGGTTTCGTGCAAATGTGTTCGAAAAAAGCTGCGCCAAGTTTTTAATTTGACATCGTAAAAACGTCGGATATGGAGACGTATGATAAAAGGCATTCAGGCACTGTGGAGTCTGTGTTGCTGAGATTTTGTCAGGTTTTGCCAGTCTTGCTTTCTCTGTCTATCTCTTTAGCTCATCTGACATAGTCAGATGCAGCTTGTAGAATCGCATGAGCGTGCGTCCGTGCGTCCGTCCGTCAACAGTTGGGCACAAATCTAAATGGCTCGACGTACGGATTCGAAAGTCGGGACGTAGGGGGGTAATCCGAAAACGAGTTGGGATGTCGAAGCTGGGGGATCAAAGGTCAAAAGGTGTAAAAGAAGGGGGAACATTGCCTCCTTAACTTAAACTATAGGGAGGAAATGCATTGGGGGGTTCGTTTTTCAATGTTGGCAATTTGCTCGGCAGGGGCGTGTACAGGATTTGTACCAGGGGGGGGGGGTCTAACCGTAACCCAAAGTTGCGAGCATGCGAAAGGGGGGTCTGGGAAAATTTTTAAAATTAGACCCCCTCAGATGCGTTTTCTGCGCGAGCAAGGGGTGGTTCGGACTCCCTGGACCCCCCCTGTACACGCCCCTGCTCCGGCGCGAAGCGACCAGGCGAGGGAGCCAAGCGACCGAGCGGGGGGAGGGTGTGGGAAGGGGGTGTTCACTGTTCACCCTCCTGCACGATGGAGATTTTGCAATTATTACACTAAAATGGAGCGACCTGAGGTGAAATAAGGTTGAATTTTTTTGCTTGGGGGGGGGGCTCGGTGGGTTCGTTTGAACCCCCCGAACCACCCCTGGCTACGGGCCTGGGGTCAGACCCATCAGAGTCTGGCTCAGCTGCTGGTCTCTTTTGCACATCCCTACACCCCTCCCCCCCTACACCCTCTCTGTCTCTACAGTGTATCATCCCTACACCCCTCCCCCTACACCCTCTCTGTCTCTACAGTGTATCATCCCTACACCCCTCCCCCTACACCCTCTCTGTCTCTACAGTGTATCATCCCTACACCCCTCCCCCTACACCCTCCCTGTCTCTACAGTGTATCATCCCTACACCCCTCCCCCTACACCCTCCCTGTCTCTACAGTGTATCATCCCTACACCCCTCCCCCCTACACCCTCCCTGTCTCTACAGTGTATCATCCCTACACCCCTCCCACCTACANAGAGAGAGAGAGAGAGAGAGAGAGAGAGAGAGAGAGAGAGAGAAGAAAGACTCTGTCGACGTCTCTGTTCCCTGTCATTTGCAATATCTACTCTTCCATCGCCGATGATTCAATTCTATGAATTACGAGTCTCACCACTACGCTTTTCATTACTGACAACAATTCGGCGCCAGCGGACAATGTTGACGGTGTTTACTGCTCATGACGATCACTGTACAAGCGTGAATAGAATGTAACGTTATATACTTTATGGATCCGTCACTCAGCCGCTAATTCGGACGAAACATGCGAAGCGCAATGTAACGCAATAGCACGCCATACAATAATTCCATGGACCCGTTTCTATACGGTGACGTCAGAATGGTTTATTCAGGTTTTTAGTAATAAGCATGAACGCATAAATGGGCGTCGGCAGGTTTACAATGCTACACTGAAAATGAGGCAAAAATGATGAATGAAATGAAATTGAAAATGTAAAAGAATGAGGGAAGGGACGTCGGAAATACCTGCGCTAGATTATAAACACGGTCTCACTGGCGCGAGAGCAGGCGCGAAACAACACACACACACACACACACACACACACACACACACACACACACCACACACACACACACACACCACAGCAACACAACACACAGCACCCCTCACACAACACAAACACAGCACACACACACACACCACACACACGCACACCACGACAGACACAACACACACACCAGCACCCCCTGCCACACACAAGCACCACGCCTCACACACAACACCCGCGCACACACACACACACAAGCATATATACAACACCACACAACACACATTCCACCACACAACAACACACACAGCAGCCCGCATCACAACGCACACTACCCACACACACACACACCTCAACACACACACGCACACACACACACACACACATACACACACAGCACCCCTCAACGCACACACAAGGCGCCGACACACACACACACACACACACACACGCACGACTACACACGCAAACAACACACACACACACACACCCAGCGCATCCCCTCACACGCACGACACACTAGGCACACACCACACAACACACACAGCCACACACACACGCGCAACACACACACACACACACACAGACACACACATACACACACAGCACCCTCACGCCACACACCACACACACACACACAGACACCCCCCACGCACACACACACCACCACATGCACACCACACACACACTCTCTCTCTCTCTCTCTCTCACGACACACACACAGCAGACCACGCGGCACAGCACACATCACACACACGCAGGCCGATCACGCTGAAGGACAGCGATAATCACACAACGCGAATACACAAATGATGAACGCGGACGAGAACGTGCACCGTGACGAGGAAGCCACATCGCGCAACCGGCAGTTAGATAGCGATATGATATGATACTAGACCACTTTAAATTTAATTAATTTTTTTTTTTAGGTTAGGGTTAAGGGGTTTAGGGTTAGGTTTAGGGTTTAGGTTAGGTTAGGGTTAGGGTTAGGGTTTTTTTTTTTAAGTGCGCTAGTAGTCATATCCTCGTGCCTAGTAGTCCATAACTCATATCGCATCTAAACTGCCGGGTGGCGACCATCGCCGCCGCATTCACTGTCGGTGCCAAAAGAACGAGCCTCGCAATCGAGGGCTAGGCTGCGATACAATCTATACACGCGCACAGCACTATCAGCGGACACGGCGACATCAAACGCATCTTTACTAGAGCACTCGGGAGAGCACAGAACCGCTCCCGCCAAGCGGCAGCTGAATTCTCTCAGTGAATTTTTTGTTAATTATTAATTAATAAGTGGACAAAATTAATTAATTAATTCAAATTAATTAAAATAATATAATCTGGATGCCGTATTAGTGCGAGCGGTGCAGGTGGGCGGAGGACTGTGTGTTGCCCCCTTAGCCTGTGTTTGTAAGTCTGCAGCCCAGCGCACCTAGCCGGAAGTGAACTGAAAGCGTGCATGGTAAACACACACACAAAACCAACACTCAATGAATGCACGCCGGTGAAACATAACCTCCGCCACGCCGCACTGGCGGAGGTAATTAGACGTGCGCGTGAATGGCTGGCTGGCCGTGTTACGTTACGCGGAATAAGCTCAGCCGCGCGAACGTGGCTGGCGATTTAATGACGAAGGGCAGTGCGCTAGCCTTTTCGTGATGTCGTTATCCCAATTACGCTTACACATAAGATAGATGTAGCGCTATACTACACCATAGATAGAGATGTACTCGGATGTACAGATGAAATATCCGAATTCTTTCGTCGTATTACTGGTAAATGCGGCGAGTGTGGAAAGTTAATGAATGCGGGCAATTTGTGCGTCAGCGTCTGACAAATTCATGTCTACCAGTTTCCTCCGACCGCTATATATAGCGTGTGATGTTATAATTCGAATGATCTATGTTAGTTCTATGAATACCAGCCTCATTACTACTCGTCTTTCCTTCTGGTTCCTCTAATATTAACAACACGGGCTGTCAGTTGTCCTAACGTTTAGACTTCAAGTTTTTGTAGTGCTTATTAAACGACGATGAGCGACGACGAAGCGACACGACGACAACGACGACGACAACAACGATGACGACGACGGCGTACAACGACGACGATTACGACGAACAACGATGACGACGACGCGCAACGACGAACGATGACGAAGACAACATGACGACGACGGAAAGACAAACGACGACGATGACGAACGACAACGACAACGACGACGACAACAACGATGACGACGACGGCGCAACGACGACGATGGACGACGACAACGATGACGAACGGTTACGACGAGCGAGCGATGATTGACCGACGGCGACAACGAACGACGAATGACCGGACAGACATACGATGACGACGGTTACGACGACCGACGATGATCGACGACAACGTTAGCAGGGACGACGACGACGGTACGGTTACGACGACAAATGATGATGGACGAACGACGACGATGACGACGAAACTACTACTATAACTAAACTCTGACGACGGTGCGGAACTACCAAGCATTGTTGCGTGAAACGCCCACGCGAGATGGTTTTTTTTATCAAAAGTCTACGCAGCGATTCAACAGACGCTCCCACCACTAGAACCCGATCAAAGGGCGGTCTCTCGATTTCTATAGAACAAAGATGCAGATCAGAAATCCAAAAGCGCGTATCTGCTAGCGCACGTTATAGGCAAACAGCGCCCGACAGTCCAGTGACCGAGGCCGACGTCGAGGCGGGAACCTTGATCGTGCCTCACCTGCTAACTGGTGTCCTCACTCCTCCTCGCTCCTCGCTCCTCTGCTCCTCCTCCTACCTCCTCCCTCATCCTCCTCCTCCTCCTCCTCTATTCCTTCCCTTTCTTCGCTCTTCCCTCTTTCCTTCTCTCCTTCCGCTTCTCACTCCTGCCTTCTCCTCCTCCTCCTCCTCCTCCTCCCTGCTCTTCCTGCTTCGCTC